CATGTGAAATTTTGCATTAAAACTATTGGTTTGAATATTTTTAAAAGCCTTAATTTTCCTATGACAGCGTTTGAAATTATATTAAAGAATGATATTACGTAATATTATGTAAAAACAAAAAACATATTTTTTATTGTAATTATACTTGTAATCAATCTTTTAAATCTTTAAAATAATAGTTATATGGCATCATTTTAATAATATAATTATAAGAAATCTGTTCAAATGAATGAAATATATAAATATAATGTGATCATATTACATGCATACATGTTTCGTAAGTTTCATTCATCAAAAGAAAAAATAAAACACTGAAATAAAAGTGAGAATTAAAATATACTGTAGTGACGTTCAGTCTCTGTTTTATAAACAGCACATATTAAAATATATATGTGTATATGGATGTGTTGAGAATTGAGCTATTCATAATTTGATACAGTAGTGACGTTTTGTTTTCGTTGTATAAGATCACGGAATTATCCCAATTTTTATCTTGTACGGAATAAACGTGAAATTTATTTATTAATTGCAAAAAAAGCCATAAATGCACATGCATAGCCGATTTTTATTAAAAATAATTTTTTTTGCATATTAATTATTAATATTATTAATAATAATTATACTAGTTATTCAATTTTTAAATAATGACAATTAATAAAAATAATTTTTATAATGACGTCGTATAAAAGATTTGACAGATATTGTTAAAAATTTTGGTTTTACCATTTATGTATTAATTGCATATATTTAGGGGAAATTTTAGTTTCTTTTGCATTTTGAATACATTTTGTATGCACGTACATTTTGTATGTATTAATAATTCAGAACTGTGAGCAAAAAAAAAATGTACTATACACAAAATAGCGCAAAGAGTGGTATGTAAAAATTATTTGCTTACAACGCTTATAATGGATCTGTTATACGCTTTTTTATTATACGAAATAAGAATATTCTTATATGGAATTAAAATTAATCCAAATAATTCCAAGGGAAACCCAAATAATAATTTTTATTTTTTTAAATTTAATTATTTTTAAATTAATGATTCTTAAATTTTCAACATAATTTGATTCTGTATGTGTGTACCAACACTGTGATGTCGCTATTATCGATACTGTATAGTAAAAAACTAAAAGGGAAGATTTGTTTTCGTATCGAATTCGATATTTAATACGAACTCTTATTTTTGTATAACAAATAAAAATTCGTATCAAATATCTCGTAAAATCAAAGTTCTTTCATGCAGACAAAAAAGGCCCTCTTCTGGACCATATTCATTAGACCAAAGTTAAAATCTCTATGTTAGAAAATTTTCAATATGGTGGTCGACATTGTGTCGCTCACATCAAAATTTTTTTCCTCATTTTTCAGTTTTTAAAATAATTGTGAATTTTGTTTTTTTTAATTATCATGCGAATTTTTATATAGGTTTTTTCATTAACAAAAAAGCAAAAAAATCGAGATAAATATTACGTTGGAAATTTGTATTTAAAATATATTCTGAAATTACAATAAAAGTTTATAGATGAATCAAAAAAGTTGAATGTAAATACAAAAAAAAGAACACAATATGGAGACATAAAAAAACGAAAAAAAAAACGACTCTTAATTTAGCATTGAATTTGCATTTAATTGTGTTTCAATTGTTAATTAAAATCGTAAAAAAAAACCTTCTAAAAAGGTGCCATATTGTGTTCACGAAGTATTTACTATTTATTTACGGTTATCGTCATGTATTTTGCTTTTCGAAAACTTTTTATTTATTTATTGTAATTATTGTGAATAAAAAAAAAAGAAATTAAATCATCATACTTCTTGGAAAATTTTTATTTATTTTGCAAGTTTCCTAATTTTTATAATGTATAAAATAAGAAGGACGACCATACTGTTTTTGTATTTAAGGTAAATTTTTTACTTTACAATGTAAATTAACTCAAACGTAGTTTTTAATCCGGCTTTTAGCTACTCGTATTTTCTCAAAGTTTTAAACAGTATATTTCATTTAAATTCAGTAGAAATCGGTCCTGATATCCCCAAAATTGCAGTCATTTAGCATGGAAATTTGAAAATTTTGAAAATGCATCTTGAGTACTGTCATAAGAAACCTTTTTCATTTTGTTTAATCAACAGAAAATACACGAGAGCGTTCTATGGAAAGGAAACGGATATTCAAAAGCTTAACCAGCCTTGTATTCCTTATAAAAAATGTGATTTAACAAAATCATTAATAAAAATAATTAACTACAGTAATTGTAGTAAATAAATTTATTGTCAAATTTGCCAAAATTTTAAAGAGTAGTGTATGTAAGCATTTGTTGCGATAATAAATATTTGGATATAGAATATAAATGAATACTGAATAAAATTTTTATTATGTAATTTTAAAATTTAATCAATAAAACTTTTTAGCAGATTACAATTTTCATTCAAAATTTTTTCACCATCCCTTGTAAATGTACAACAATATTTAATTTCAAAACATATAATACTTTCTACAATTAATGCATCCGGTCAATATGTTTATATAGTGTTAATTTAATAAATAAGAAAATTAGAAAATATACATACATATTGAATTAAAATTCGAGATTTTACATACATAAATAATATTATAAAATATGCAAAAAATTTTTTTTAAAATAAATTTACACATTTTGAGAAAGTGTGAAAAGATAATAATAAATTTTGAAATAAATTTTCCTAAAACTTTTATGAGTTATGTAGGTTCATATTCTACCGTTACCAATATACCTTATATACTGAATCATTTCATTTCAATTATTTAATTATAGTAAAAATATTAATTAATTATTGTTGAGTAAAAATTTGAATCATTCAATTTTTCATACGAATAAATGTGAAAAGTTAAAAATAGAAAAAACAAAATTAAATTATTTACAAATTAATTAGAGTTTTTTTCTTTCTTTCTATTCAAAATAATACATTTGAAATAATTAAAAATTTCTTTATAAAAATTTTTATATTAATTTGTTAATTAAATTCAATAATTATCATTTAAACAATTATTGTTTAAACAATTCATATAAAATTTTAATTTTTAATATTTTTTTAATTGAATTTTTGTAATTTATGTTTATTGAGAATAATTTAAAATCAATTGGGAAATAAAATATAAAATAGAATGATTAATTAATATTTTAGGATAAATTTTTGCTGAAATTGACGTTGCAATTGTAAATTTTATGCTGGGATTTAAAAATCTACTGGAAATACTTAAATGCTGGCAAAATGTAGATTTGGAAAATCTAAAAAAAAATCATTGAATAATTCAAATTAAAGTAAATTTAATGAATTTTAGCAAACGACTCTTATTCATTTTAGTTATCCTGCATTATAATATGTTATTCAGTAAATTATTGGATTTTTCTGAATCTTTTTCGGAATTTCATTTAAATTTATAGGATATTCAAGGATTCTTCTTTGTCTTTTGTTTAAACTCTGCAAATAGTTAAGATACTCAATATTTAACTCCGTTTTCAAAATTTTGTTGGAATAATGAAGATGGTATAGATATTTTTTCAGAAATTGCAGTTTTAATCACAGCTCTCTTAATTTTTTTCTTTTTCAAAAACCATCATCCATTTTCAATACAGATAGATATGCATCCTCATTGTAAATCTAAAATTAATTAAAAACTTTAGTACAAAGTATAAATAATAATTAATAATAATGTTTTTGTAAAAAAATATTTGTAATTTCAATATTATTAAAAAATTTACATCCGTTTTTATGTCTCATTTCATAATTTTAATTACCCAAATAGATTGTTTACAGTCACGAATTCATTTTAATAATTTAATGGTGCGATAAATTGAAATTCATCAAAATTTATATGAAGAAATTTTATTAAATTAAAATTTTGTAATTTATATTTAAAATTATAATCAAAAAAATTTTCATTAGTTATTTTATGACGATATTGTATTATTAAATTTTCTCAAATTCCTTGATTATTCTGTAGCACAAAACTAATTCATTTTCTGAATTTTATCATATATAAGTCACATTTAATTCAAATTTTTTTATATAGAGGGGACAATTAACAGTATTAACCACATGAATATTCTTTGAATATCCACAATTAATGACAATATTCACCATGATAATTATTTAAAGAATTCACAATCACTAAAATAAAATTGTAATAAATCAAATTCTTCATTTTAATGGTTTTCTTTAAATATTGGAGTGCAGAATGAGCGTTTGTTCTTTAAAAAATGATTAATAATTTATTAAAAGCTTAATTATACATTTTATATTTTGTAATTATTTTGAAATTAAATAATAATTTATTTATTAATATTTTGTTTTTATATTTATTTATAGAACATTGACTTCATATATACACATATATTTATTTTGGAATTTTTTTGAATTAAAAATTGTAGATTATTCATTCATTTGAAATTTAAATTACAAAATGGGTATTTTGCTCTTAAAAAATATTTTTTATTTTTTTTTTTATTATATTGTATATTTAGTTAAGATTTTTATATATAGGACGGGAACAGTTTGTTTTATGAATACTTAAGCACGTATGCGAATAAAATATGAAATTATTACTCTTACAAAAATATAAATAATTAAGAAATACGGAAAGAAATGCGACTCCTATAATACTAATTAATATTCTGCTCATTAATTATATTATACTTTTTGTTTAAAAAATTGTTAAAAATTAAATAAATTTTAAAAAATTTTACGATTCATAATAATTTGTTTAATAATTTTTCTTATTATATTTTGCAGATGAATTTGCATATTTAATAATGAGATAACTAATATGAGAATTAAAAAAAATTTTAAAATGAAATTGTACTCATGACGAATTGAATTGAAAGAATTAAGCAAAAAATTAAAACAAAGTTAATTTTAAAATTAGTGAAATTTATTTAAAAAAAATTATAATAATAAATAATTTAATTTTTAAATAAAATAATTACTTTTTAAAATAAATAATAAAATTTTAAGTGAATTTTTAAATTGTGTAAATAATTCAAAAAATAAAAAACAAATTTAGTGATTTAAAAAAATAAAATTTTTTAATTATTTTACAAAAAAAAAAATTATTGTGATCTTTATTTTTTGTGAATTATTTTGTGAATTCAACAAAATTATAAATTGAAGAATATTTCCTTACCTCAATAAAATAAAATTGTAATAATGTCAACAAAAGGATTTGATACTCGATAATCGATCGAGAATGTGTTAAACATACTCAATTTATTTAAGTTGTAAAAAGCATTAAAATTATTCTGAAAAAAAAAAATATGAATTCTGATTTGAAAAACAAAATAAAATGTGATTTAGTTTAAATAAATTAAAATTAAAATATAATTAAAATTAACAATAATTAATTTTTGCAATAAAACAAAATTAAATTAATTTTTCAAATATATTTTTTAGGTGTTTATAATTTACCAAATTAGTAAAAAAATAAAATTAATTAAATCATTGAATTAATATAAAAAATAAAGAAAAAAATAATTGAATTTCAAAATTCTTAATTAATTTAATAAAAACCGTACTATATTGGGATTAAAGTACCTATATTAAAATAAAATGACAATTTCATATTCCTGTGAAGTACCAAATGGTAGTAGTTTTGGATGTTTTTGGAAAATATTATGGAAGTAAGTATAAAATTTATTTAATTATTAAAAAAAATGGGAAATATTTTATTAAGTCCGATATGATAAGTTATTGTGAATATAATAATTTATTAAAAATTTAGAGTGGAAATTGTGGACAATATTCTAAAATACGTGCATTATTTTAGACAATTTAGGCAATTTTTATATTTTAAATTTGAGCAATTAATAAAGTAGATTGAAGCCTCTTGAGTTTTTATATTTTAAATTTGAGCAGTTAATCAAAGTAGATTCAGGAGATTTTGAGTTCTATAATACGATGTAAACGGTTTTTATTTTTGGAAACTGATGCTTTCGAGCTGAAATGAAAATTATTAACAAGGATTAATTTAATTATTAAAGAGAAATTTTATTAATATTTATTGAAGAAATTTTATTAATATTAATTAATAAAATTTCTTTTAATTAATAAATTTTATTAATATTAATTTGAAAACTATTAATTGTCATAAGAGTCTCTCTTTACAGTCTCTATTTTATAAATTCCGAAGTATGTAAATGCAACACTGTAATTTGTTTTTTTTTACAATCTTATGCAATAAATGAATTTTTCCTTATAAATCACTACTTAATTTATGCAATTCAAAAATAAAAAATTATATCATAAAATATTTATCATAATTGTTGTAAATTTTGAAAATTTCTTCCGCATAAATTAAAAGAGTAACTAAATACTATATTTTGTAATTTATAGCAATAAGTGAGCCAAAAATTTGTTGATTTCTGCTCCAATTAATTTTATAATTTAATTGAAGTCTTAAAGCATACATAAAATGTCAATGCCAAAAATCAAGACTCTTTTGATATTTTTTTCTTGTTTTTTGCTTATAAAATAACAGGTTGTTTACATGATCTTCTTGAATTTCATTGAGTTCAAGTATAAATATATATATAAGTAATTATAGCTTTAAATTTAAGGATTAAAAATTTTTCAAAGACAACTTTATTTTCTTGCCTGTTGAGGTTCCAATAAAATATTGTTTAAATTATAAAAAATCATCAGTGCTCTACATATGATGGTTATTTGTGTAGATGAATATACCAAACTATATGAAGTATTAATACGTCATCATGCGTTAACAATGCAAGATAAAATTAAATTGAGATTTACAAAAAAAAAAAAAATCAATAAATTAAGCAATAAACTAGCACATTTTATGTATTTGTATAACAGGAAAAAAGAAATGATAAAAGTAACCATGAAAACCTGTGTACAATTTAAAAAAAAAACCGAGAAAAAAAACATGCTTCATGTCAAATAAATTTTAGGTTATGAATTTCTTAAAATTTATATTAAATAAATCCCGTTTTTTTTTTTTTCAGTTTTTGACGTTAACAAAATTTTTCAAGGTTTTGTTTAATCATAATTTTTTTTAATTGCTTTTGGGTAAAATTACTTTAGTATATATACCTGCACCTCTTATTTCTGATGAATTCCTGTTAAATTCTGATGAATTTCTAGGGGAAAAATTTTAAAAGATAAAAACTATTTATTATTTAAACTTGATTTATGAAAAATTGAATTAAACTTTGGCTTTTAAAAGCTGCAATCTAAAATAAAATTATTTTTTGTCCTTCAACTTTTGTGATTATCAATTTTTTACGAATTTTAAGTAGTTTACATTTATTTTTTATTTGAGAGTCTTGAATATAATTAATTTATATAATTTTGAAAAGCTTGTTCTTATATTTTTTCTGAAAAATGTTTTGGGTAAATTTATTCCGAATTTGACATATGTATGTAAATTTATAAAATCAATTAAAAATTCCCATATTAATGACGTATATATGTAATCATTAAATTATATTTACAAATTTTAATGAAATCATTCGGATGACGTAAATGTTGTGCATATTATATATTGTAAATATACATACATAAATAGATTATTAATTGACATTTCTTTGTGTACACGTTTAAAGATCATCGAAATTTAACAATTATAATTTAAATTTAAATTCAAAATAAATTGTTAAGTTTGCCAATTATGGCTAAATCATTTGATTACACTTATAAAACCACAGTAACTCAATTAGATATATTTGTGATGTGGGTTGCAAGGGTTAATAATTTTGTATGTAATTCGTAACAATAGGACTCTATTAAAATAACTCCCAAAATATGAATAATTATTTTGATAAAAGCACATTGTACGTATACAAATTTCGATTTCATGGTAAAAATATTAAAAAAAAAAATTCCTATTAAAAAACTCTCACCTTCCTTGATTTATTGCCACCTAAATTTAATTTTTTTTTTTGCGAGTTATGCGAGTTATTCACATTTTGTGCAAACCAACTGATTCCGGAAACTTTCATTTTTTAAGATGATTGTTTTTTTTTTTTGCTTACTTTGTTTTGCTATACGAAATCATCCATATTTCACGTTTATTTTGTATTTTTTTACCTTAAAATTTTTAGTTATATTTGCTAAACGATTACTTATTTGTTTTTTTTTTTCTTATTTAATTTATTAATTTTTAAAGATTCACTTGAGTTAAAAGTGTATAATGATTAAATTTTTATTGATTTTTAGCACATTTCAATTTATTACCTTGATTTGGATATTTTTTTTTTTTCTTATCGTAATTTGAATATTAAAATTTATATAAACTTTAAAAGCAATTGGAAACAAATTTAATTTTATATAAAAAATTTGTTATATTAAGTATTTGTTATATTAGGTATTTGTTTATTATTGCTATATTATAAAATAGGTAGAATTATTAAATTGTATTTAAAAAATTCAGTAAAATAATTATGAATTGTGCATATTTCAAATGTGTGAGTGCGTTTTGACTATAAAAGTTAAAATTTTTTAAAAAAAGAATAAGTAAAAATTATAAAAAACTTTTATATATTTTTAACTATAACAAAAAGTTTGGTGCCAATATTGTTGCATAATTAGCATAAAATTAAAATTTAATTTAAAATAAATTTGCTTATATTTCGAGTTTTATTTTATGAACTCCTGTTAAATGAAAGTTCAAGGTCTTGTTTCTTTACTACTCGTATAATGAAAACGAATGACATTCGAACAAAAATAATAATTACAATTTGATGAATTTTAACGTTAATAACTATAATAATTAACGATATTATTAACGAAATTTTTTAAAATATTTTAAACTTAAAATATTTGCTAGTGTTTTATGTTAACCTATTACTAAAAAGTTTTGAGTTTTTTTTTTTGTATTAAGTTTATTTTGAGTTTTAACTTTAAACGTACATGCAAAATTATTTTTGCAGAGAGAAAGTAGCTCAATACAAAAATTTTTCTCTGAAAAAGTTGATCACTTGACAATTTAAATTCTCTCAAAATATGATAACAGAGTATGAAAAATGAGTAAGAAATACGAGTTGTTTCAACACGCTCAACTCAATCAATTTCAACTTCATTTAATTATTATAATCAATTATCTTTATCATTAATTGATTATTTATGTAAAATATTTAAAAATAATCAGTGCATTCCTTTATTATAAAAAAATAATAAATAATTTGGTTTTGTTTTTAACATTTTGTACTTGCAGTATGACAAATTTAAACACCGGAACAAAAATTATGTAATATAATTGAATATTTACAAAAATTTATAATGACTCGTTGAATAATAATTATATTGATTGTTTGATTTATTTTAAGATAATAGGTAATTAATTTTATTCTCATAAAATTATTGTTTTGGAAGCATAAAATTCATTATTGGGTCCTATATTTGGGTGGTCAGTTTATTACTTATAATTAACTACTATAAAAAATTTATTTGACATATTAATATTGTCAAAAATGGAAATATTCAATTCTAAGTAAACATAAAAATTAAAGAGAGAATAATTATTAAAAAAAAACATTAAGAATTTTTATTTTGTACTTAAATTTTAAAGTAATTACAAATAAAACTTTTGCTATGGAAGCAAGAAGAGAAGAGAATCAAAAATAGGTTTATCAACTCGATTATCTGTCATATTTCATGATTTCTACGGAAAAATGACAAAGACGGAGAAATGACAAATTCAAAATATTTTTAAGAAGGAATGCAGTGTAAAATTTATATTAGTTTCTCATTCTGTTTACTGGTGTGTGCTACCTAGGCTGTTTAGCAAAGCTTACTGATTTTATAATAAATTTTTAAATTATTTCATGAAGACAGCGCTTGTGTATTATATAAAACAATATTGTTCATGTAATAAATTATTTAATGTCAAAAAAATCAACAAAAATTTCAAGATATTTTAACGAAATTCCTATTTCTTTTTTTTTTTTGTTTTATTTCTTTTTTTTAAATTCCATTCAATTAATTTCAATTTGTGATTTGAATAATTGATAAATTTTTAAATTTTATATCTTTATATAAGCACACAAAATAATTTTCTCTTTGACCGCAAGGTTCGCATTAACAATTTTTTTATATTTATGTATTTATTTTTTTTTTCGTGTTGTTCAGTTATTCATTTATAATCATAATATGTAGACATTTTTTAATATTATCAATAATAATATGTGAACATATTATATAAATTTTAAAGTGTAGATATAATATTTTTGAAATATATGCAAAATAAGTAATGTGGATACCTATACATAAATTTTTTATTTATATAAAACAATAAAAATCGATTGAATAAGAGAATAATTTATATATTTTGAATAATAAGTAACTGAAGATTGAAATTGAAAGTGAAAAAAAAAATGAAAATATTTTGTACTTACCATACTTCAATTATTTTCAGTTATAAATTGTGTAATGAGTTGTTCATTATGCGAGCACAACTACTAAAATGCACGTCTATAAAAGATGTATTAATAATGAATCCGACCGCAGTATAGTTGTGACGCCAGTGTGTAATAGTTGAACGAGAGCGTTACGAATGCTAATTCCGATTGGATGCAATAAAATTTGCAATAACCTCAACATTATCTATAAAAATTAATAATATTAGTAACAAATTATACGGGATTATAAATTATATATTCTTATT